TCTTACCATTATTTGGAATGACAGTGTCTTTTTTTTTGCATAGAAACTTTTACACTATTATTTATTATTTGAGTAAAGGAAAGTTTGATCCCACAGCTTTGGCTGAAAAAGTACATTGTCTCCGAGCTACACTTGCTAAATCCTAATGGGCTGCTATTAGGATGAACAAATGTGAAACTAAGACAACTATAATGACCAACGCAAGAAGCAGGACTTCAGCTCAAATGTACATTATTTATGGTTTAACATATTTGAAGTAATATCGTATTATTATTTATATTATTAATAATGGTATAATAATTATTATTATTTACAAAAGTAGCAGTCCACACCCATAATGCTAGTTTCTTAGTAGCAGAAAGTGCCAGGGACTATCATTTTTGTGGGTTATGAATATTTTCTTCCAATTTGTTTTGGTATTTAAAAGTAATTTTATTTTTCAAATTTCAAAATGGTGAAACCGGTGCACATCAATAACTGATTATAACTCACAAAGATTTTATGCAGTATTTATATTTGAGTTTGTAAGATTGTAGCTTTTTTTATTAGCCGTATCTACCTATTACTGCTACCAAAAATTATTGTTGAGAGTAATTTGCCAAAATAAGAATTTGCTATTTTTTATCCATTTTAAAACAACAGCTTTTATTACAACTGCAGTAAGCCAGTAACCAAAATTCTTTTTGCTGAGTATCAGTGAGTTGCTTCTAGATCATCATTTTGCATTTTCATGATAATTATAACAACTATAAAAGTTTATAAATTTTTATAGCACCACTAACAATATTTCTCCAACACAAACTAAATATTATGATAACTACCGATTGTTACTACTGTCAACTGACTTGTTCAACTTGTAAAATCTCTAAGAATCACACAATTCTCTTGCTAGTTGTCACTCTCATGCACCACAGACCAGTAGTACAGCTAATAAAATTAAAGCAAGAGTGAATATAGATACAGACCAACCCTTTGCTGAAGATGGTACTGTTGGAGGAGTTGTTCCTGGAGGAGGGCAACTTTGTTTTTTTGATGATTTCAAAGGGCAATTTGATGATATTGATTCTATTGAACAATTAGGCAACAAATTGTTTATGTTTATTCCCTTTTTCTTTAATATTTCAGTTGCTGCATCCATTCCACTGCAGTAAGCACCATGTATTGTGCCCCCATGTTCAATGCTGTTAGCTTCTCCACTAAAGTACAGTCTTCCTTCTGGCATTGCAAGATTCTGTTTATCATTAATTGTTAGAGTAGTAGGATTATTAGAATACATACCAAGGAAAAACTCATCAGTATTCCAGGCATAATACTCTATATCATCGTTAGTAATACTAAGAAGGCTCTCATTTGTAATGTTATACCATTTACGTAATACAGCAACAACCTC